CACACACACACACACACACACACACACACACACACACACACACACACACACACTCTCTCCTACACACACCTGCTATTTCTTAGCTCTTATCTGGTGTTAATGGTGGCTCCGTAGTGCTTCATCTCGCCATCTTTGCGTATCGCCCATCTTCTATTATCAGCAGCCTCCATCTGAGTCTTTCAGAACAGCGCAGTCTTTGAACTCGCTGCAGGCCATAGAATTTCCTGAGAGTGTCTTGGCAGACAAAGTTGCCTGGCAACACTGACGGCTACAGGAAGTGGCTTCAGAGCTCAATAAAAAGGGCTAAACAGAGAGTGGTGAATATCAAGGCGGAGTTCACAGGAAAAACAGGGGATATTGTCAAATGCCTACTCTGCTGTTAGTTGTTATCTGCTGCTCAAACAGCTGATTTTGTGTATTGGCTTGGAAATGTCTCTCTCTTCAGCTTTGATGTCTGGCTTTTTTTGTCGTCTTCATGTTTTCTGTCTGTCACTGACATTTGGTTTAACCAACACATGCAATATCTCAGCCAGTCCTGATTAGTTTTATGAATGATGCATCTCACCATAGCAGTGTGAGGCTTTCCTAATCAAATTGATTGGCTCGCTGGATGGATGCTTCATTTCTTGCTCAATCACCCTTAATTAATAGTGATGTTTTGTTGTTTTAATACGTCTTTGATATCTGCATTTCTCCCCAATGCCGCTTGCATTGAGTCTTTTAGCATCTGCAGTGGACTAAGAGGGTTTGAATACCAACCAACAGACCCCCCTTTGCTTTGTTTTGCTTAATGGGCATGACTTTTATGATTGGAAGTAAAGTTTTAATACCTACATTTGAGCATAAATCCTCCTTTCTCCACCATCAACAAGTTATATGTGCCGTCTATGAGGCATGCAACATCTGTGCACAAATGGCCTGTGGTTTACCTGCCACTGCATATGCAGCACAATCCTATGATCGACTATAACTACAAAGACGGTAAATAACATGACTTAGACTGGAGATTAAATGTGACAAATCTTACTACACTCATTTATGCACAAAGTTTCATTCCCCGCGATAGTTTTGCAGACAACTGGTGTATTGTATTGTTGGCTGGCTGAGTGGGCATAATTCATGGGAAGATACATTTACTGTTTGACATCAGACAACTCACAGTTTATTTTCACTGACTGCTGAGCGTTTACATTGAATGTCTTAGAATAAAGGATGCATTGTGTGGAGTTTCAGAAAGTGTTCTCACAAGCTCTCTCTGCATCATGGCAGTCCCTGGCTTTCTTAGTCTTTAGATTGTTCTCTCAATTCTGATATTTCCCTTTTTTCCAAGTTAGTCTTGTCCTTTTTTATTCATCACAACTTTATCACTCCCCTCTGTCTCTTTCAACATTAGTCCAAAGTTGTGTGTAGATGCCAAGATCTTGTATAAATGTTTAATAGGAAGAATGGAAATCCCAAACGTGCTACAATGTCCTTGCAACATTACTGACCAATAAAGTAAGTAGTTCCATGTTGTTAAACTCCAACTGTTGGCAACTGCAGCTCTTTCCCAGTATCATACTGTGCCATCAAAAAGTTGTTCAGGGTATAAAGAGTCCTTTATCGCACCACCTGTGCAACAAGATTTCAACACGAAGTGAAGGGATATTTCAACTGGTCCCAGCCACTGCGATATATTTGTATACGAACAAGCTAAAACTAAACCTGGTTTTCTTAACTTGTACAAATCATCATATTTGTTTAACTTTTGTAAACTTATAGCTACAGGATGAGACTGCAGCTGCATCCTCTCTAGCATTCTTCTATCCGTTTACACAATTTGTTTAATCAGATGAAGCACCTAGCCATTAGTGAACCGTCAGCCCTGCTCTGATTAAATGCTGTGAATGTGTAAGTGATAGAGACTGTATTTGCATGCTTCGATATTTATTGCAAGCCATATCGTCATTGCAATATTGATTGTTAGAACATACAGAGCAGATTTTCCTTTTATATTGTGCAGAGCATGAGCAACTCATT